TGCGGGTTGGTTGACGAAACTCTTCAACCAGATCGTCGAAGAGAAGAAGGTGCCCAAGGACTGGCAGCAGAGCGTGACGATCCCGATTTGGAAGAAGAAGGGCAGCCCGGCAGATTGCTCGAACTACCGTCCAATTCGCCTTCTCTCGCACACTATGAAAATCTTTGAGCGAATTGTTGACGCCCGCGTTCGTGATATCGTCCAGCTTTCCACCAATCAGTGTGGCTTCGTGGCGGGTTGTAGCACCGTCGACGCCATACATGCCGCTCGCCTATTGCTGGAGAAACACCGTGAGAAGCGAAAGCCCGTGCATGTAGCCTTCCTTAGACCTGGAGAAGGCATTCGATCGTGTGCCGCGTGATGTTATATGGTACGCTTTGAGGCGGCACGGCGTGCCCGAAGAGCTAATTGAGTGGGTGCGCATCCTTTACTCATGCCCAGGGAGCCAAGTTCGCTCACCAGCGGGTGTCTCAATGGAGTTCCCCATCACCGTCGGGGTACATCAAGGCTCTGCGCTCTCCCCACTTCTTTTCGTTGCCGTCATGGATGCCATCTCACGAGATCTTCAGAAGGAAGTGCCTTGGACCCTGCTTTACGCTGATGATGTGATGCTTGCTTGTGAAGATAAGAGCGCACTGGAACAGCAGGTGCAAGCTTGGGCCGAGCGTCTGGCGAAGTTTGGACTCAGGTTGAACGTCAACAAAACCGAGTACCTGACAACCGACCCAAATGAGCCGGGCTCCATTAAGATCGATGACACGGTGCTCAAGCGCACGGAAACATTCAAGTATCTCGGATCAGCACTTGCGTCCGACGGCAGTCTGAACTCGGAAGTGAGCGCACGAGTGAGTGCCGCGTGGTCTAAGTGGCGATCCATGTCCGGGATCCTTCGCGACAAGAAAATGCCAGAGCGGTTCAAATCAAAGATCTATCGTACTGTCGTCCGACCTGTCGCGTTATATGGTGCCGAGTGCTGGCCCGCGACAAAAGAAGTTGAGGCTCGCCTTGGCGTGATGGAGATGAAGATGTTGCGCTGGACGGCGGGCGTCACGCGATCGGACCGCATCTGTAATGATGTCATGCGTAAGAAGTATGGTGTAGCCCCCATAACGGAGAAAATGCGTGAAACGCGCCTTCGATGGTATGGGCACGTACTTCGCGCAAAGGCTGATACCGTCCGGAAAACTGCTCTCGAACTCGAGGTACCAGGAAAGCGGCCAAAGGGACGTCCCAAACAGCGCTGGCTCGACACGTTGCATACCGACTTGAAAATAGCCGGCATTCACCCCGATCAGGCATCCAATCGGGAAAAGTGGCGTAGTTGTATCAAAAGAGCGGACCCCGCGATCAAGCGGGACAAACGCTGAAGAAGAAGAAGAAGAAGTATGTTTATCCTCTGTTATTAGACCTTTTGCATGTCTCTCTGACCTTCCATCATACCTTTCACTTGAAGGTCCGCTCCGCTTTATTTTATGTTCCGGCGGCTTCTTTGAACATGTGCTCCTGCCCGCAGGATGCAGTACTTTCGCAGCTCAAAGGCCCGCTCAGAACGAAGCCACCGATGGCCACAGCAACGTCTAACTTTCATTTCTAAAGATATGCTGGTGGCGTAGTGACAAGTGGCACGTTTAACACGAAACGGTCCCGTGTTCGAATCCCGGGTCAGTTCCCGCCCAATCCAATCAAGCCTTGAACCCTCTGGGAACGGTGAGTGGCTACCAACTCCGCCAGATTCGTCTAGGTGGATAAGTACACTGACTTGTACATCGGCTGGCACCGCAAGTCATTGTATAGGCCACATCGCATTCAATAAGCCACTACGATTCTGAATGGAAGTAGAATGCGTGCCGCATCCCACAAAGGGATTGATCATTGGCGAAGACTTCATCCTTTTATAGTTTATCTTGTGGTGCGGTTGTTCCCTGATGGCCCTCCCATTTGGTGCGGTGAGAGTGAAGTGCTGAGGAGAAGGAGCCATTTCCAAGGGTAAGAACTCGTCCAACCTCTCTCGCCTCGTGTACGTACAGAGCGGTTCGGCATGGGGCTCTATAGGAGGCATTTAGGGTTGGGTTTCTCCTCCTTTTTTCTTCACTTTTCTGCTATTTACGATTTGCCATTAGCATTTTAGCTGCACAACTGACCATTTTTGAGCGCGGGGCGTGCCCACGTACCATTTTATTATAGCTTTCTCAACCGAATCTCTTTTATTTTGTCGTTTTTATTGTAAATTTGACTTATCTACTTCTACACTGTTTGATGGACCAATACCGTCTCGATTGGTTCGCACTGAACTCGTATGGCAAAAAAAAACACTATTTCTTATACCGCCAATCCTCGCAAATCATCGTGGAGTAGAAATGCTAATTCTCAAGTGAAAGCTGATCTGTGGCGCATCCCAAAAAAGGCGGATCAACCCCTAGCGAATTATAGATTTATCGATTCATCACGATACATCACAACTGCACGAATAAGAGAAAGAAAACACACAAAAGGATATTGCATGAGCCGAGAGGTAGGAGAATTACAACATACTTTTGCATTGAGTAGTCGGGCCGTTAGCCACACCGTCACCTATTTATTATAACGCTTTTCTACTAACTCCGAATCTCCAGATTAAATGGCAGCGAAATGACTAGATAAGTTCGGACAGAAATGCATAAATAAGGAACGAGACCGTGTTTTTATGAAAGCCAATAGACGATAGTTCCACTGGTAACCAGTTCTGAACTATGAACCCGTGGATACCAAGCAGGACTGTGAGAATGCTCAGCAGGAAGACAGGATTGAATGTGAGTGGAAAAACTGTTCAGGAAGCATGCTCGTCCGGTTGAGCTGAGTTTCGATATTCAAGACTAAGGCAACTTTCAGATTTTGAGTGTCAATATCTCGAAAGCCCATAGAACGAACCCCAGCTCGACCAGTGTTCCAGCTTCCCGAGAGTTATCGGGGGAATCCCAAGGACCCTTACTCGACCGCCACAATTCAAGTGAGCAGCCCAATATTACAAGCGAGTGGAATAATTGAAACTTCGAAGCAAAAGCCAGCTGAAACAGTAATGAAGTAATGCTAACAATGACGTAATGGATACAGTAAATTGTATGCAAGAATAACCATGAGCTTTTCAACTATAGATGATCTATAATTGCAGAGAATGGGAGTTAGTGCTCAATAGGAGCAAGTAAATCCGCTAAATCTTAGGAAGCAGCCGTTATTGGTCGTCCTCAACTCCCATGGTGCAACGTGGTATACGAAATGTGTAAATAGTGCCGGCTGAGGGCCGAGTTTTAGCCGTTGTACGACGGAGTCGAAGTCGTCGTCTTTCCATTTGTCCCAGACGAAGGACGAGAGTTCGAGGCAAAGGTAGACGAGCGTAATGTGAAGGGCCGCCCCCCGGCCGGCCCCCCCGGCCGCGCCGCCGGCGCGCGCGGACATGGAATGTACCTGAACAGTCAAAATTCTATTCACATTTATTCCTGAAGAAAATTATTTTCATATTATCCAGTAAATCAAAGTTACATTCTTCGATCATTTGCCATAGCCAAAGCTCTCTATGAGGGAAAGTGTTGGTACGAGGTTGCTCAAAAGACTCCACCCCCGTTGGTGTCTCCCGCTTCGATCGCTTGCATGATCTCTCGCTGCTCTTGTCTGTTCTCTCGTCCAAAATCACAACAAATCTTCGCATTTCGCTCGGCACAAGAGCGATTTCGACAGCTTTTTTCACAGGCGAGTCAGCCAACACACACATTTCTTTCTATTTCTTGGACTCCGCCAATTAGGAACTTTTCGACGGCATACCGCGAATCATTTTTAAAAAATGAAATACTCTAGAGCCCTCGAAAAAGGGCGAATACAAGCTGAGAAAAGCGAAAAGTTGGTCCATTTTTTTGGATTCTGAAACTAAAAAGGAAAATCCCGTAGGGCTCCCTTGGTTGATTAGTTGGCTTTGTTTTTGTTTCTGATGGCTCCGAGAAATACAAAGCTATGTTGTTCAGAGTCTACAGCTGACTACAGCTTCTCTTGCAGAGTGGTACTAGACTTCTGAGGTGTTTAGGAAAATCATTTTAAGTGAAAATTGGATTTCTACGCCATGCAAAAGCCCCACACCTGCAGTAGATTGAGAAACCTCGTCCATGTCCGTCGCACAAATTCTGGAATAGGAATCAATCCGTTTTTGGGTTGCGGCACGCATTCTACTCCCACTAGAATAGTAGTACGAATCAATGCTAGGGAGAGAACACCACTTTGCGAGGCACTCCTTCACTCTTCATATCATACTTACGATTTTCGAGAGTGCTGACCCAAGTGAGAGTTTTCTCGGAGGTGTCGACATAGTCATTTTTTGTATAGGGCTATTGTGCGGAACCTTACCGAACGCTTCTGTAAAGTCGAAATAACATTGAATACTGGCTTTCGGTGATCTATGACCTTGAAATAGTCGTTTAGCGGGGAAACTAGGGTGGCCACTTTTGACCTCTCAGCTCTGAGAGGTCAAAAGTGGCCCCGGTAGCGTAAGTGGTAACGCAACTGCCCGGTAAGCAGAAGATGCGGGTTCGAGTCCCGCCCGTGGTCCGACTTTTGCCCACAACTCAGCATTCTTGTGATAATTTCCCTTCCAAGGTATTTAACTCTGGGAACTTTTCTGGACTAGTCAAAGTTCTTCCCATTCTTACTATGGCAGATACATGCATAGCAACGACAGGTAAACCACAAATCGCGATTCTCATTAACATATACTAGCCAAGATGCTGCTTCAAATGGGAACGTTATTTGCTTTCGTTACTGGTTTTGTTTATGCTCATCATCATCATCATCTATCTCCACTAATAACTTGTTGTTTGCGCGTTCCTTATTTTGCCCCTGATTTATTTATTTTCTTCCCATGCATAAGTGTTTCCTCTAATTTGTCCTCAAATAGATTTCTACTGCGGTTTCATTTTATAACATATCTGTATGTACAAGGGGAGTTACATATTCGATCGGCTGTTGACATTTCAGTTTCGCTATCGGTGCACCCGCTTGACTGCATAGCAAAAGAATAAAAATCTTTGATTATAATGACAAATCTCTGAATAAAGGATAAAGTCTTCGCCGTTAATCAATCCCTTTGTGGGATGCGGCACGCATTCTACTTCCATTCAGAATCGTAGTGGCTTATTGAATGCGATGTGGCCTATACAATGACTTGCGGTGGCCAGCCGATGTACAAGTCAGTGTTTTATCCTCCCAGACGAATCTGGTACCAATTTACCGTCCCCGGAGGGTAGAAGGCTTGGTTGGCCTGGGCGGGAGTCGACCCGGGATTCGAACCCGGGACCGCGCGAGTGGTAAGCGCGCCACTTGTCACTACACCATCTCCGCCTCAACAAATTTTTAAATAATAGTAATAATAATAATGACAATAAATAATAAAATAATAATATAATAAATAACAATAATAACAGTAATAATAATAACATTAATATTAATATTAATAATACATATAGTAAGATTAAAAAACAATAATAAGAACAAAAATCTGCATTCCATAGACAATTTTTGTGAAGCTGCTGTGGAAGAGAGGTACTCACCCTCATAAGAGCAGATTCAGTCAGCGAGTGCGCTACGTAGAGGCAGGCTTGATTCTCAATAACGAAACGGGATTGTTGAGCGGTACTGAAAAGAACAAATAAGGAAAATCCACTTAAGTGAAGGTGAGGAAGGCTTTTCTACTGAAGCCGGTTCATTTTTGACTGCCGCACATGGAGGCGGGGCGCTACCCTGGGTAGAGCGTTCCCTGAGCACAAATTAGTTGAGACCTTGCCAGACTAGTCAAATTTCAGAAAAGGCATGTGTATGAAAGCCAAAAGCTTCCTCTGTTAATGCGCCGTGCATTCCATCTCCTTTTAGAATCGCACTGGCACTTTAACTGGGAATAAGCCTTTGAAATTCCTTGCAGCGGCCAGCCGAGAAACAAATCACTGTTTTTCGCCTCCCTTAGAGGACCGATCGTCTATAATTAGCGATACCGCACGGACAGAACGCTCGCTTGAGCCAATTTGGAGTTGCTTCTATGAAGCGAGTGCATGTTCAGGGCGACACTTGCTTGCCACTATACCATACCAGGTCTAGAGCAGAATGAGCCACGTACCTCGACAGCATTGGATAGAGCGGTTCCGAAACGTCGATATCAGTGAAGGGTGTGCATAAATACTCTCCGTTCCGGTAAAAACTGATTTTTCTGCCTGGACCGTCAAACAGAATGCCGACCACACAACTGAAATTCATTTCAGTCACTATCAGTAACAGCGGTTGCTTTTCCAGTGTGCTGTATCGAGTAGTTAAAGAACTCGGACGAGTTCGAGCTTATTGCAACCTGAGAAGTTTGCGGTGCATATCTGCTTTCAAGTCCCAAGGTGTCAATTCACTGTCAGAAGAAATGTCTTGGCCTTGATCCTGCTTAGCTCACTCGATCTACCCTGCCAACCTCATGCCTTTCCCTGTCGATAGTTGGTCTCGTCGCATTCAATCGGGGTGGTGTCAGGGGAAACCTTTTTCTACCAATAGTGATCGGCTTTGAACGATAAATGATGAAAACGACAGGTGCAGAAAATGCAGTGGTTGGGCTCATCGTGTGCCTCTTGACACCGCCCCGATTAAGTGTAGTGATACATATAAGCTCTAGAGTGGAAGTTGCCAGTTTTTTTTGCGTAGAATGCTGCGAACGTCACTTCTGCAACAAGGCACGGTCTGTGTAGAGCAAGACAGGAAGTCAGGCGAGTTGGGCGGATTAGGTCTCCGCCCATTTTTCCCCGCTGGTGTGTGCATCGGGTATATGAGCTGTTCGCTTTCTCTCAGTATTTCGGGCTATACAAATCACTCCAGAATTTGAAGAACAATAGCAAATACATATGTGCCAGCAATCGACCAAGCAGAAATCACTCACTCCCTGTATGGCAGAGGATCACAGACGGCAACTTCTATTCCACAGTGTCTGACCAATCCTTTTCTGCTGATTCCGTAAGAGTGCTCATCCTCACCGAGTAAATCGACAAACTGCGATCGAGCTCGTGTCTGAAGTACATTGGTATAAATTCTTAGAACCTTCTTATTCCGTGCTAATGTCGACTGAACGATGCAGGTGAGGGCACCGTCGAGTGAAGATTCTACACCGGCCGCCGCGCTATTTGACTAAGGCATTGTCTGAGTCGGTCGTTACGAGCTAAGCTAAGCCACATTTCCGCCGGTGGTGGGCCACAAAAGACATGGGTCATTCACTGACCGCGCTATCTCCAGTCCCTTCAGCAAACACCTGATAAAGCGAGAACCACATGGCCAAGGACTTGGTTCGGCACGCTTCAAAGTGGCAACCCACAACTTGTCTCAAATGCCAGTGGCACGTGGAAGGACCTACTTGAGGAGGGTAAAAAATATGATGCTGAAGAAGACGCTGCAAGGCTGTTTATTATCAAACTGGAAAAATTCAACTGTTTCTAGAAGTCAATGTTGTCGCTTATGCTTTTCTGACTCACACATGGCACTACCAATGTCGGATCGATGCCGCCAAAGGAATGCTAACGGGCAGTTTGAATGCGAATATTAGGAATAAATGAAAAACTGGGGAGAGAAATATGACCCATGGTAGTGGCAAGAACTCTCAGTCTCGTTCGCTGCGATTGACGGGGCGTATCAGGGGGGGGGTTCCCCCGAACCCGTCTCTTTTTTTCGGCAAAAAAGACTGTACCATATCGCTCGTATCACTTGTTTTCCACCTATTATGTCGCTTACTCGTTTTGACAAATTGTGGACAGGGGCTTGTTTTCCGCCTAACCCAGCCTCATCGACACTTTCTGCCCCCACCCACCCATCAGCCGCAGCGAACAAGAACTGTACTACAAGTCTATAAAAATTTGCTTACAACATACACAATTTATCCCCTATCAAAACCGGTTGTTGTAGTTTTTCTCGATGTCTTTTGTCAGCAACTAGTCCTTTTCCGATTCCTTGCCTAGCTCAGCCTATCGACACTTTCTGCCCCCACCCACCCATCAGCCGCAGCGAACAAGAACTGTACTACAAGTCTATAAAAATTTGCTTACAACATACACAATTTATCCCCTATCAAAACCGGTTGTTGTAGTTTTTCTCGATGTCTTTTGTCAGCAACTAGTCCTTTTCCGATTCCTTGCCAGCCATCAAGAAATATATCAGTGCTCTGGCCCGAATTTCGGCCTGGACCATGTCCCCTTGTCTTATGCTCCATCTTGGTATTACTCCACGAGCGGTAGCGCCAGCCAGTACATTTTTTTTCTAATGCACATCAGGGAGGTCGTATCGAGTCGCGCTCTGCAGGAAGATTTTATTTCGCTTACTGGGAATAGTGCGGATCGTTATATGGTGGAGAACTGCAGATGGGAAAGGTATGGCGCACAGGAAAAGGAAAAAATTCGACAGTTGGAATTCATCTCGAGGTTAGTTGGGACCCATCCTTCATAGCCGAACAGCATCTCCTTGTGATTATCGTGACGATGATGTGCTCTAGCTGAGAAGGTTCGCATATCGGAGGGTGTGGGAACGGTTTTTTTCAAGGACAATCGGGGAGAACAATTTTTTTTTTCTCGTTTCAGCAGAAGTCTTAATCCGCTTTCCCACCACGACTGGGAAGTTTTGAGACAATTAAGTAAGAGTAAAAGCGGTTGAGGGGCTTGAGGCCGTATTAGAGCGAATGTAGTGAAAGAAGGTAGCAACAAGATCTCTTCTTTAAGTGCAAGAGTTGTAGGGCGTTGACATTTTTTTCTTTTCCCATGGTGTTCCCTGCTGACAGCAACGGTCGCCGGGAGCTTTTCGGCTGACAAATGTTTTCATAAGTTAGCAGTCACTCACAGAAGCATGTTTTGTGCCGACACCGAACATGATGGACGTTCCGAAAAGGTTCTGACAAACTCTTGTATCCCAATAGACGATCGAGGTGGCCGTTAATTGCTTGGCTCCACGAATGCCGGCTGTTCCGAACGCGTACACCGGGTGGAACAACACTTCATTTCCCCATATCGCCGCTTCGAGATTGGTCTGTAATAAAATCGTCAGATTTCCTGGGGTATCGTAGCCCTAGGACACTAGGAAATCCGATGTGAGGTTGGAATTAAATGCAATTGTAACATATAGTGAAGAAATTCTGACTGAAGTTCAGAAACTCACCGACTCCTTGGAGAACGACCATGAGTCCGGGAACAGCTGGGGAACACGTGGGGCTTCCGTGGGGATGCTTGAGTAGACCACCCTCTTCATGCTCTGAATTCTTATGATTAATCATTCTCATCGGACCTATTATCGAGTTAACGAGTTAAACGCTGAATAGAAAGCTAAAGGAGCTCTTTAAATTGGAGAAAAATTGGGGGGAAAATGGGCATTGGAGGTACATCACGAGATATGCACAGTGGAGAGTGGGTCACAAAACGCCGTGAATTCTAGACAGAGCTGAGCATACTGGCCGGGTTTTAGGCGAGGCTAAGCTTACTCTCGATCGATACGCACCACAGCTGGCGCGTCAGCTTGTGAGGGTGGAGGAAACCGTGTGGTAACGATTGCGGCGATGACGTTACCGGTCCTCAATCTCCTTAGCTAAATAGTCCTGAGTGCAGATGTACTGGGTCACATGGAAACGTCCTGACGTTGCCCTCAGTCAGTAGTACATAATCAGGAGAAGTAATTGGTTGCCCTGCGTGGGACATCATCAATTCTGAGTTTACTCCGCTAGCTTACGGTTCGGTTCCAGATAGGGCCAAGGGGGTACCAAGGAGCTATTTGCCTGACCCAAATAATCAAAACTGTTTTGATACAACTGCACGAGCTAAACAGGTAGCTGAACCCTTTAATGTTGCTGGCCCTAGTAACGAAATCCCTCCGCTTTGATGGTGAGTCAAAGCCAGTGTTACTAGAGGACTGGTGAACAGGCATTTGGGAGGGAAGATACTCACTTGCTACTTTCTAGTCTTTTTTTACTTTCTATTTTTTTCCGTTTTTCATAGAATGAACTTTACTTGTTGCTCTGGTTACAGGAGGTTGTTATCATTACTAAGAAAAAAAAATCAAAAAGCACTAATTGTAAAAGTAAGACTTCGGCTTTCTTCTGCGGTGTTCTGTCTTTGTCCCACGCTGCCATGGTTGCTTGCGCAACAATATACTTATTCATCATCAATTCATGATCCCCTGATGGCGTCATGAGGACAGCATGAAGTATCAGTCTCGCTCCTCTAGGAATGTGCTCTTTAAAAATTAGCACTCTGTGAGGACCATTCTGGGAATCAGTTACGGTTAACCAAAATACTTTTTCTGCGAACTGTTTGCCACTTGAAAATTGTGTAGTGGGGGCTTTTCGACTACACTACTTTTCATATAGTCTAGCAACAGGGAGAAAGGTTCCTTTGGCTTCTAAGGGGCTGATTTCATTGTATTTTGTCCTTGCAGGAACGAACAGCTTTTCTACCCTACACAAACGGACGCTGTACAACACCTGGCTGGTACCAGGCCACCTGCAGTTTCTGGTACCACCTTTAGTGCGATCGATCTTGACAGAGCTACGTCTATTCATTTCGTTTCTTAAGGCCATCGTTACCTGGCCCTGTAAAAGTTAGAACTGAGGCTATTTAGATATGCTTGACGACCAATTGATCAAGAATAAATTGTTCTGACGTGCCTGAGGAGAACGGGAGAGGACTGAGTAAGTCTTTTGATAGATTTTTCATTAGGGCTGATCTTTGCTGGGAGGTTTTTTAATGTCATATCAAGACCGATTTCAGCCACTTGTACGGTGGCAGACACTCAGCCCTCTCCCTTCCTCCCCAGTCCCGTCATAACAATTTATTCCTGATTAGTTGGTCGTTAAGCATATCTAAATAGCTGGAAAACCACCTCCAAAAAATGATGTGCATGGAGCAATGCAAAAACAACTACAAAAATGCTATCAAGAGCAAGAACACCATAGACAGGCGAAGCAAGCACAGTTTACTCGACTGTTATCGAAAATAGTAAATTAATGGAAGTGCGAAACAAATCATTCAAACGATGAACACTGCGCAAAAAAAACAAAGGGGAGGATTCGGCAGCTTTGCAATCAAGCCACGTATGATCGGAAAGTGACAGGTAATTACAAGTACAAGGTACTACTATAAGGTACCAAATAAATCCTCTGATTGAGCCTGAGTGCCACAGATAGCGAATAGATGGACGGTGATCTGAAGAATGGGGAACCTAAAGACATTCAAGCGTTAAGTGATTGAAGCGAGAGTGAGAACAACTTGTGGTGCTCATCCGTTCTTACTGGCTGTTTGCCTATCGCAGCAGTCGGCGTGGCGGACCTCTCCCATGTCGGCGAACTCTCTAACGATTCGCTGACCACCAGACTGAGCAGACAGAGCTGACCTGATGTAGCAGACGGGACCATTCAGAGCTGATATTGCACAGAACAGGTGGATAGCAATTACCTCTCTTGTATCCTTTCATACATATCGGACCGCAGAAAATATTGAGCTACTTATGGTTCATATCCCAGGGATGGGGATGACGCGGCTTCCTACATAATTTGGAGCTGGTGTAAGATGCCTTGTCCGTGGTATATTGAACAGTTGTCTCGTGTGGCACAAAAACATGGTTACATTTGCCTCGAAGGGCAATATCCAAAAGCGCATCAGCCGCTACATTCGAATCGAGTGCGCAGCCACGCCCACCCCATCTTCGAGATATCACGTTTGGTTGTCTGTAGATGCTAACATGGACAAGGAAACGGTTAGCGACGAAAGACTATCCAGAAATCACTCAGCCTGTTTCCTATGATGCAGCTCCTATGGAAGACGGTTTAAAAGGTGCTTCGTAGCACGTTCTATAAAAACGTTCAGACGAAGAAGGCAAAATCACTGCGCTATTTCAAAACAGCTGAGAAAAAGCAGGGACACTTGGAGATATTTCTGTAGTTTTGTTTACTCACCAAACAGTACTTTTTGCAGTGATCTAGAGTCAAGCTTTTCAGTGTTTTCTTCTCCCTGAATCTTCTAAACTGGGACGACAACGGCTAATAGCGGATCAGAAAGGCAAAATGTTAATCTTTAATTCCAGTCTCTGAGAGGCGGGTGCTTAGGGATGCTTAGTTCGTTTGAACATATGTAATGTAGGCGCTGTTCGGCGACGTGGGGAGGGGATTCTAACTTTTGCTACTTCCCATCGACGTGTCGACCCATCTAGACAGCCTCTTCTCGAGTTGACAGGTTTTACCATGATGGCTTGACGAGCTTGCTCCAGCTTCACAAGAGTTCACAGGTCACCAGAGTGAGACTTGTAAATCGGAACTAGTGAAGCGAATAAGGTGCAAAGCCCCTCCCTCATCGCCGAACTGCGCCCATAAGGTACACTGCTTAGCCCTGAGACGGGGTAGGTGTGGCATTAGAACGTGGCATGGAATGGGTCAATCGTGTATTTCAGTTTGAGGCAACTGTCAACTTGTTCAGTGTTGGACAGAAACAGAGGGACATAATCAAAATTGTGTCGAAATGAAAATGTCAAAAGCGCAGCCACCGTCACCTTCAGCTGAAGTAGCAGCCACGCCTACCACTTCTCAGGGATTTCGAGCATATGATGGGTAATACAAATACTTCAGGTTGAGACTATTGCAGCACTGTCATGCTTTAAACTGTCCCAAAGTGGAAATATCCCACCAGAAGCGTAGCCGCCGTCATATTGAAATAAGGTACATGACCACGCTTACCAGCTCAGAGTATTGGATTGTGCGCTGCGTTCAGAGGCAGTTGGCACGATAATTTGGTACTCGATCTAAAATGCTAGCAGGGTGCTATATAGTGGGGAAAATGGCGAAAAAACGAAGTGAAACGGTAAAAACCTGCGGAGAAAAGCCTTCGTTCCAAATGACTCAAAAAGCAATTTCGGACGAGTTTCTGTAAGGCATCTTGCCAATAACCGCTACGGTAGTGCACGTATGTGCCCAAATATCCATGCAGCACCGCGGCCACTTCATACCAATCCCTTCATATTACATAGCAAATGAGGCAATACGAATATCGGGTAGGGTCGTCCATTTGTGGGCGGGCGGGCGTAGTGGGCGTTCTGATCGGTATGTTGTAGCTTGACCCCCTATAAGACACCCTATAAGGATACCTTTCTTGGAAAGGCGCTGCGCAGCGAATGCTCTAGGAGCACGGAATTTCGTCCTGTTACGCATGCTAATCCTACTCTTCGCAAAGGTCCGCGATCAGGTACAGAAGCTGGAAATATAGCGTCGGGAGGGTAGCGCGGTTCGCGAACAACATTGCACCGGTTTTGTGGCAAAAAGTTGTAAGGGAGGGGCGCTATAGCGCAATATAGTTCAGTGACGCCCCTTTTTTCCAGTGACTCCGCCTCCAACTCCGCCTTCAAGGCCCGCCTTTCAGTGGAAAAACGAAGCTGCAGGACGAAAAAGCATGAAAATCGTCACTTGTACGGTCGTAGTTCTTATCGGGGAATCAGCTGTGCGGATGGGGGCGTAGTATTGGAGATGGAGCTAACAGGATACGTACAAGCTGGGATCGAAGTAGGGTTCTTATCTACGGCAGCTTGCTTTTTTTCTGCTTTTTTCTTCACTGTCGAGTTACTCAGCATTTTGTCGTCTTCATACGAATCCCTAATCCACTAACCGTGATGGCGAGTGAATGCGGACTTTGCCTTCAAGGCTTATCGTGCTAACTGCCTTTGAACCATGCTGCACTTGAGCTAAATGAAGGGCATCATGCAATAACAAACCACATTGGAAATCTTTAAATGGGGTATTGCTATTGAGTTTAGTGTATTAACTTAAGCAGCAATTGGCTGCTCTGCTCGTATTCAAAACAATTCTCAGAAAGTAATGGGTTATTATTCGAGAGGCATTAACTCGATTTCAGCTTTTGACACTTTCTGACAGTTCGCTACTATCGGGTTGGCCTATGCGTGATAGCGTTTTTCCATAGTGACGGCGTAACAAGAAAACTTATGGCAACAATACTACATTTATCCAACGCAGTCCTGCAGCTTTTGGTGGAGAAGTTCATGCGCTCGACTGAACTTCTCCACCAAGCTGCATGGTTGAGTGTTGAAATTTTCGTCTTTTTTGATATTTTCATTTTTCAGGACATCAAAGTTGGGTGTGGTGAAGAGCGAATAGGCGTTACCGTCACCAGCGCTTGCGGCTGTGCTCAATTGAGGATTCGTGTTGGCAGAAGCATTTGTTTAGCTTATGGTCAAAGGCCACTGTTGAGAGGTGTTTTCTCCCACAATATTCAATGAGTACTCGATATG